CAAGTCAAAAATCTGCAATGCCTTTCTGCAAGCTACAAAGTGTTTCTTGATCCACACAGAGAATCATAAACCTTACAGGGATTCGAGGTGCCAGGATTCCTCATGCCTGCGCTGTTTCCCCAAACATCCCCATTCTTGAATAGTTTTAGTCAAACTGAATAGTAGGACCAATAACCGATGCTGAGAAGGAGAGTGAAAACAGGGAAGTGCAAACACACACACAGCATGAAAAGACACTTCTTGTTTCTATAAGAAGGATGCAATAAAGTATCAGTGCATGGGGAATGCAGCTTCTTGGCAACACAGACATCTGGGACCTAGTTCTAGCCCCTTATTTTGGTACATCAATTAACAACTGAGCCTCAGTTTCCTCACTGAAAGCAACAAGCTTGATAATTGTACCTATATTCACTATGAGGTTGAAATGAAGAGTAAATTAAATATGTATGCAGGGAATTGTGTGGATGGCCTGATGTGGCAAACTGTGAAAATGGTAGCTACCTATACAATAAAATTATTATCAGCATTACTAGTTTTAATTAGGAAATGTTTCTCAAAAGTGATCAGTTTGAATTTAACTTGTGTGTCATCTGATCTGGAAGTATAATAAGGGCATCTAATTCTTTCTGGTTTAGTGAGTCAAACAGAAAACCAAAACAAATTGAATCATTCAACTGGTGTATTTAGAATTGCTGATGATTATAGCATTCAAGAAAGTCAGCGAAACACAGAAATTGCAATTTCAACTGTTCTTGAAAATCTCCAAAATCAGTTTTCATTTGTGTAGTCTAACAGTGGATAAGGGTTATTCTTTTTTTAATGTATATTTAGAACCATTTTAAAAAGAGGCATCCTGTAAGTCGAACACAGAGGAGACAAAATGTGCTAATGGAAGGAGGGTGTAAAAATTCTTTTATGTCCTATGTGAAATTATAACATGAATGTATGATGTTTGCACAGCTCTGTATGCTTTTCGTGGGAAATTCATGCCATCAACATTTTATTCGATCATACAATTCACATGTATACAAGCATGTATTACCCCTTGTTAGTGTCTCCTATGTTAGTATTACTTTTAGATCTCTTGTTGATGAATAAAATATGTAATAGTAACAAGATTATTGGATCAATATAGATAATTAATTCAAATAACACTCTCAGCATCAAATTTTGAGGGGGTGATATATATATGTATATATATGGTTTTGAAATTTTATTTTATATGTATGAGTGCTTTCCTGCATTTATATGTGTATAACCTTCTGGTACACACAAGCAAGAGAGGGGGTTGGATCTCCTAAATAGTTGTGAGCCTCTATATGATGCTGGGATTGAATCTAGGTCTTCTGCAAGAGTAACAAGTGCTCTAACTAGTGAGCATCTCTCTGGTTCCTCGTTGGGTAAGCTAGAAAGCTCTAGAATACAGAGTTAGTAGTATCAAAGGTCCCCATGTAGGATCACTTGTGGTGACTGTGTTGAACCCCCACAGTGCCACAGTGCTGTAAAACAAGAAGACTGTTTTCTGACAATTTATACTACCAGATACCGACTCAGGCCTCTGTCCAGCTTTACACTGTCAACATTCATGGAGACGTGAGCAGTTACAAAGTCTTCCAGGATGCTAAAGTTTGGATTGCAAAAGATGAGATGGATAGATTTCATATTTTCATTGCAGATTGTTTTTTTTTCTTTTCCAAACTGCCGAGCATAATTTTTTAAAGGCAGGAAATGCAGCTAGTGTTTGTTTCTAGCATGGCTTCTGTTTTGAGATTTCTTCTTTGTAGGAGAAATGTGTTGCCCAGCTGTCTAGAATCCCAATCAGAATATGGTTTCAGCATGAGCTATCTTACAAGAATGATTTTAGCTGCTTATAAACAGAATAAAAATGATGCTGGGCAATTTCATCCAAATTTTTCGTACATAAGGATGCTACGACTTAGACCTATGGCACCGGTATGAAGAAGTAATGTAAAGTTGAGTTCTGTGTTTGTCTAGTCAAATTAGTCAATAAGCAGAGCCCCCAAAGATTCCTAGAAACAAGAATTACGTGACAGGTAGTCAAATGAACTAGTAACACATAAAAGAGTTGTTCCATCTGTGCTTAGAAAACAGTTTAATTCTTACCAGTTTTAATGCCTCTACCTGTAGCACTCACAGTAACACACATGCAGAGGCATGTATACATAAGCCCCCGGGACACACAGAAGCACACATGCAGAAACACACATAAGCACAGAGGACATAGAGAGAGGTAGAGAGAGAATAAGAGAGAGAGAGAGAGAGAGAGAGAGAGAGAGAGAGAGAGAAAGAGAAAGTGTATGCACACACATACATTCATATTCCAGAATAATTAATACAGGGATGCCTCAAGACTGGCACTTGTTCAGGAACATGAATAACATCAAAACAGGTTGCAGAACTGACCCAGACCTCAGTCTGGTTCCCAGCATCCATGTTGGGTGGTTCACAACTTCCTGTAAACTCCGGCTTCAAGAAGATCCAACGCCTCTGGCTTGGATTCCCATGCACACACCCACACACAAACACATCTTTAAAACAACAAAACTCATCTTTTTTTTAGAAAAGGAAGGAAGATTCTAATTTAATCTTGTAGAGAGATTTGTTGAAGAAGCAGGTGTGTCAACCTCTTTGTCCTATTTTTCGAGGACAAGATTTTCAGGTCTTAATGTTTCTTGGTATAAAGTCCCTGTGTACATTCGATTACATCTTCTTTAAAAATAGTATTAAGACAGTGGATCTTAACATAGATGGAATTTCAGATGGCAGATACTATTATAAATTTAGATACGAGAGTGTGAGGAGAACACAGAGAAGACAGATAGGAGTCTTCCTTCAGGAAGATACTTATATACAACTTGGGTAAATGTGAAAAGAACAAAAACAAAAACACAGCTAGGCCTCAGAAAACTTGGCTGTGCAGAATGAGAAAGAGAAGATAGGACAATACTGCAAGTAAAGAGAATTTGTTAAAATAATGAGAGAAGTAAGCAAATGTGCGAGGATAGCATGAGAATGAATCATAGACAGAGCTGTGTAGCTCAGTACTACAGCACATGTGAACATGTGTGAGCCAGGGTTCAGTCTCTAGCACTGTGGAAGCAATAGTCACAACTGTAAACAAAAAGCCGCAGGTAATAGAACCAGATGATCCAGGGCTACCTAGATGCTAGCTGTAAAACATCATGAGGAATTGTAAGTTTTCTGAAGACACTGCTGACTATGTTTAATTTCAAGGAAAACTAATATGAATCTGTCACATTACTAGGGAAACATCACATACATTGTTTAATTTCATTCTTCAAAATACTTTTAAGTCTTATTTTTATTATTTGCATCTTACATATGTGTAGGTGTTCAAGTATAAGTACGTGCACCGTGTGTGTTGGTAGCTAGGCAGGCTAGAAGAGGTTGTTGGATCCCTGCAAATTAAAATTACATGCAGTTTGTCGTGTGAGTGTTGGAAACAGAATGTGAGTCTTCTGCAAAAATAGAAAGTGCTTGAACTCCTAACCTGTCTCCCTAGCCTTCTGTCTGATTCCATTCTTACAAATATTTCCAAAGCACTTCCCTCCATCCCTCTAATTTTCTGAAAAAAAGAAGAAATGTGATCCCATAATGTTTAAGTAAGATTTCAAGGACACAACCATGTTGAGGATGTCTGGTGTACACCATATTTGTCTCTTTATGAAATCTATAAACTACTTAAACATCAACTTAAGGTCATCTAGGCTTCCCATTTTTTCTTATTTTTATTTTTTCATTAATATACTTTCCAAGAGTAGCTTCAGATCCTCTTAAAAGCTGAGCATTAATTACTTCCTCATATCTCCCACAGACTCCCCTAATGTTAGCACTTTGTATTAATGAAGTAACTTTGCCACAACTGATGAGCCAGTGTTGATATATTATTGTTGACTGCTAGCCATGGCTTATGTTAGTCTTCATTCTGTGTTGTATTTTTATGAGATTGGCTAATATATGATTAACATGTATGTACAATGCTGATGTCGTACAAAATTCTTTAATGCGCTCAAATTCTGTGCTCACTTACATCTTCTCTCAGATTTCTTGTTACCACTAACCTTTCACTATCTGTTTAGTTCTTCTGGGTTGTTGTATCATTTTCCATATGAAGGTTTTAGCCTTATTCATTCAGCAATATACACTTTAAGTTCCTCCAAGTCTACTCATGGCTCAATATGTGGTGCCCATTTATCACAGTAATAGTCCATTATATGAACTTACCACAGTATCCATTTACATACTGAGATGTTTCTTATTATCTTCAAGTTTTTTTCAATCCCTTTCTGGGACTAGGACCCAAGACTTCATACATTGCGAATGGTAGGCAGACATCAAACTCGTGAGAAACATCGCAAACCTATCTTCAAACTTCACCAATTATGAATAAAGCTGTAAATATTTGTATGTAGAATTTTGTATGGAAATAGCAGGCAGTGCACAAAGGCTGTATTAGATGGTAAGAACCCAAAGTAATGTGTTATTATGTTTCTACTGAATGGGCATTAACTTTATCTTAATTTTTGATATGTATTTCAATTATGACACGCACATATTTCAGGTTTTCTTTTGAAAATTTGTGATTTGAGTTCTTATATTCTCCATCATTTATCCATTGTTTCCTTCGTGAACTCGTATCAGATACCTATTATAACCTAGTAACAGTTATTCAAAACTGGGTTGTTTCCTCTTTAGTTTATTCTTCGCTTTCCTATTTTTTTGTTTATTCTACTCATTGCTTATTTTACAAGAGCTGTTATTTTGACTTTTTATTCTATTTATCTCCAGGTACACTGGTTATTACTTATTTCTCTGATGACAGTTTACTGATTCCCTAATTTCTGCACTTTGCCATTCCCTCCTCAAAAAAAAATAATAGTCTATTTATCATGTACAGCAGTCTGATCATCACTAGAGACGTGACTTCTGAAAATGTCTGAAGTAAAGAAATCACTTACCTTGGTTGACAATAAATCTTAACTTCTGTATTGTTGCCAGATTGCCACTAACTCGATATATTCCATCAACATCTAGGCCTGAAAAACATAATAGCATATTTCAAATTAGCACATAGAAAATTAACAAACAATAATGAATTGAATTGTACATGTCTGTTGAATACCCCTCCTCCACAGAGAAGACAAATTTCTATTACCTCAACTAAAGCAATATTAAAATTTTTAATCCCCAAATTTTAATAGTAAAGTGCTGAGACAACCAGCATCAAACACAAGATTCATTAGAGCAACAACATCAACACCATCAAAAAAAACCCCTGGAATATTTAAAATTATTCTCAAGACAAACAGGAAGAAAATTTGAAAAAAAAAAGAACTTTGTGTGTCTGCCCATGTATGTGTGTGTGTATACACATGTGTGTATGTGTGTTTATGTGTAACTTCTCTCATTTGTAAAAATAAAATAAACATGTGAAAATTGTTTTCTTCTTTCCTCTTCATCCTCATTTTTGTTGCTCTTCTTCTATCCCTCACTCTTTTTCTCCTCTCTCCATCCTAATTATACCCTGTTCTCTGCCTCTTGTTATCACTGTCACATGGCATGTATTAGCCTAATGTTTGACCTACATAGTAAAAAGGTTAATCTATGTATGACTAGTTTCTAGGATGTTCACACAATAAGATAATATATTATAAAAGGAAAACATAGGAAATCCTAGCCTATTGGTTTGTTAATTTCAGATAGTTTTGGAATTGATCATCAAAATAACTTATCTTGGTAGGGAGCTTGGATAATCACTTACTTGGTATTTGACATATTTACTTATCATATCTATCATCACAACCAAGTCTGAAGAATTATTAAGAAATGAGGAAATAGAAAGAAATAATTATTGCTGGGCGGTGGTGGCACACACCTTTAATCCCAGCACTCGGGAGGCAAAGGCAGGCGGATCTCTGTGAGTTCGAGGCCAGGCTGGACCGACAGCCTCCGAAACAATACAGAGAAACCCTGTCTCGTAAAACCAAAAAAAAAAAAAAAAGAAATAATTATTCATGTTCTATTATTATCTCCAATAAATGTTGATGTTATAAGTTTTTGAGGTAGAGTATACATGCTCTCATGTCTTTAGGGTCTCAAGCAGACAAGCCTGAATGAGATTACTGGCCAAGTGCATGGGACATTATCCCAGCAACCTCTCCAGGGAGGAGGTGTCAAGTCATTGTTAACTATGGTGATTCATGGCAATAAATGTTAAATAAATTGGAAGAAAATCATGCTATTTTGTAACAAAGACTTTACAAAGATCTTTAATGAATGAATTCTTTCACTATTTTGCCATTTCTATACTTTTATATATTTTGAATTAGGAAATGCATGTTGTGTAAAACATTTCTTCATTAGCTTACAGTAGAAAAATGCAATCGGTGACATAACGCAGAGCAACTATTGCTCATGGTCTGGACTGTTTCTATGTAACGAACCTAAGTAACCTGTGGCAATAATAGTGGAGTGAAGCTGCTATAAGCAAATGTATTAATTATTATGGGTTGGGAGTTCCAGAGAAAGCTAATAAACAATGCTTTACTGAGACACTTTCCCTTCACAGCATGAGCTGTGAAGAAATGGAAGAGGTCAGACACGTATATGTAAATAGAAAAGTCACCTAAGACATAGTGCATTTTATAAACATCAAACAAATTATTCCTCCCAATGTACAAACTACCTCTGCTGACTTAGGGGACCTACTGTGTTCGCCTAAAGTACAAGGAAAATTTGACATCTTCAGTGTGACAATCATAATCAAAACTTTTCTAATATTTGATTCCTGCTTTTACTACAGGGCCAAGTTGACATTATGCTTATGTGTTTCAGCTTAGAATGTTAAAAGTTTAATTAAGAATGGATTTATTGGCCAAATTTTAACAAATATAACAAAATTTTATTGTTTCATTAGACAGTACTTGGCATTTTGTCTTAATTTGAAAACTTTAAAATGATATATTTTTAAAAGTTAAAATTTGAACGTTGTTGTCTATTCTTTTCAAAAATGTCTTTTCTGAATATATAAACAGCTGTAGATAATGGTTTTGAATTTTCTGAAGTCTTTATTGGTGATTCCCTCCCTACCATCTATAGAATAAAATTCAGGACAGCAATTGGGGCTGTTTTGGAAGAATTGGGATTTAGATATAGCCAAATGTCATTCAGAACTAAGAGTGATAAGTAATTTCACTTTCTCTACCAAAATAAAGTTTGACCAAATGAAAATTGCCCTGATTTTTCTATAGCCTAGCAATTGTTTTAAAGGAATTCAGAGAAAAATATGTTCTCTAAATGAAAGGTTCCAATTTATCTTCAAAAAGAATCAAAGTAGGAGTCTCAGTTAAGGGAATTATTAAAGGTAAAAAGTCAGTCTGTATGTGGTAAAAATGAATATATGGACTTTGTATTTATTTGGTTTGTTAATTAGCTGAGCCCTCATGAGATGTCAAAGATAAGTGAAAACAAAATCCAACACAATTTAGTATGATCGTAACTTTCCTTAAGTCTCATTTTGATACACATCTCTTTTAAATACACTATAAAATCAAGTACATGTACAAGTACAAGTACATGTTTGTCTAAGACTCATAGTATTATTTTAGGTATATTTAAGCATCTGTGTGGTTCTGTGTTGTAGACTGATATTCAACCACTGCAATGTCTTAGAGTCCCAAGCTTTCTTTTTCTCTTGTGTAAGCTGAAGCTGCAGCAGCAGAAGCACTTGCCTTTGTCTTTTGGAAATTTCTGTAGAAATATTTTTATAGTCCAATAATCAAAAACATTTGAAAGGGTAGCATGGATTGGATATATTACATACGAACAATCGGAAAGTATGGCAGTGCTTAAAGAAGGCAGTCTCAGCCTAAATTCATAACCTATTTTCTTTTGGGAAGAAAGCAGGGTGTGCTGGTGATGGAGAGGATAACTCAGACCTGTGCCACTGCTGTGGTTGTGTGACTGAGTCATAGCTGAGAAACGGTTTTGTGGCTTCAGCTAGAAACCAGAAAGCAAGAGGGAGTGGAGTGAAACATTTAGATGCAATATGAATCTCATGGCACAGCTTCTTAGCCCTTCGAATTCAGAGATATCAACGTCATACATCTTGCAAATAATAATCACCTTAGTGGCTCCTTCTTTGAGTGGGTTCTGCCCTCCTCCTATTAGACTTCTTTTTTTTATTGTAAGTAGAGTGAAAATGACAAAGTATATATTAAAAAGGAGAACGTTGCATTTTTCAAAAATAATGTGTAACCTACCAGTGAAGTTTAGTAATCATAAATTATGTAGGTGCATTCTCGAAATTGATTAGCTCTCCCCTGATCAGCTTCAATGGCAGTCTTAAAATCCTGGGAACATTATCTGAATTGCAGTTATTCACGTGTCATTCCCTTTTTACTCCAACTTTGAAAGTTTTGCCAAACCAAACCAATGTAAATTGGTGGCTTTGGACATCCTTTTCATGACCACATTATCCTTGCTGGATTGGGAACTACTCATTTTGGAAATAAAGTTAGACTTGGTATGAGTTTTAAATGAGTGGTGTCTTCAAGGTACCCACATTGTGCTTTGGTGAAGTTTGAGACAAATTACTTTGAGAGTTACCTCTTTTCAGTAAATAATATGAGTGAATGCTGACAGAGGGTTTTGCTTGCCATGCAAGGGATACAGCGGGAACATGATGAGACCAAGTCATTGCACTTTTGTTTTAGAAAACCAGACTGGAATGAACAGGATTACAAAGATTTCTCAGAAGAGAACCACATTCTCTGAAGTATCATTTGCTTCCTCACCAGCTGACTTTTTATGTTTCAAAACAACGTTTACCATTGGCAGAAATCACTGGGTGTTGCTGTAGGGGATTTTAAAAACTTGTTCCCTCTTCCTCTGGAGAAGCTTAAGCTAGGATAGATGTAGTTCAGCCACAATTGCTGGCAGGATGCTGAGAAGGAGGGACTGAATTTTGTTTAGTTTTGCAAACCTTAACCATTTACTGACCTTTTGTCAGTTTCTGCTTTTTGTATATGATGACTTGAGGTTGTGATATTCTGTAGGACATCCCTGTATAGAACTTATGTTGCCTGAGAATACTGTTCCTTCTACTTTAATGACTCCGCATGCGTGATCTCATCTGCTTTCTGTCCTCTTGGAATCTATTTTTGGTGTGCTGTTGGCACTCTTTCTGTTGTCAGCACTGTCCTTGTTTCTCTCCCTCTCCCCTCCCTCCCTTCTTCCCTTCCATCCTTCCTCCCTCTTTCCCTCCCTTCCTTCCATCCTTCCCTCCTGTTCTTTTCTTCAGTCATATCCTTTTCATCTTCTTACCAGGATTTTTGAGAAGAGAAAAACCAGATGTTTTTGAGGCAGCTACCACCTTGAATTAGATATATAAGTTGGTTTTTATAATGACTGAATAATTAATGTTGAAAAATTTCTTTCCAATTCTCACATGTTGCTATGAGTGTTTTTACTGGCTCATGGTATGTTAATGATGGTTGATTAAATTATAAATATTTTAATTATTTGCTGTGTTACTACACTCTAATATGAAGTGTAGTGCCATCTTATCTTGTTAGTGAACTTGTAGTAGTGACCACACCCTTTAGGCATGGTTTCAGGTGCAGACATGACCCTTTAAAGGTAGAGGAGCTGTGGGCTTGTGCTCTCTTGGGTTGTGGAGAGCATAGGAAGAGCATAGCCTGCATCTTCTATGCGAGATCTTCCCTAATAAAACACCTATTTATCATTTACCTTAGGGCAGGTGAACTCATTTAAACTCCTGCTTTCCAACAAGAGATTTTATTAACAAAGTTTCCTTTTTCAATATGTATTTCATTATTTTCATTTTTTGTATCAATGATTTTTATTGTGTTTATAGAAATATATTGACATTATACTTTTAATAATGCCCCCTTAATACTGATGGTTTTCTCACTCATTTTTTCATTAGCATTTTATTTTCAGTTTCTCTCTGTGTTTGTAATTAGTCTTATTTTCTAATATCTATGTTTGGGGTCCTTAGTTGATAGAAACAATT